GAATATCATCAGGAGTCTTGTTTTACTTCAAATCGATAAAAAAAAAAACTAATTTTGTTGATGGCAAAAAAATGACTTTATCCGTCCTCATCCTTTACCTTCAAAATTCAACCAAGCTTCTCCACCTAATATATATGTTACTAAACGAATCATTTTATGTAAAGCTAAACCACGTTCAACAACTGGTGTTCGTTCAGCAAAAACCGACATATGACTATAAATTTGTTCATTAAATAACCAGTGTGCTATTGTTTTATCACCAACAAGTGCTTGATCATGACTTTCAGCATAAGCTACATTTTTTTCTGACCATCGACGATTAGTTAATGTCCATGTTATATGACCGATTTGCCAATCTTCATCTCTTATATCTCTTAAGAACTTCAAACAAAAAATGAAATAAGTTTTTATTTTTAAGAAAATACAAACTTTAATCCAAAGATCCGGAATCGCCATAGCTAAACGATAATCAAAACCAGCACCACCTTCAGCAAGTGGTCGACATAATGTTGGCATGCCTGACACTTCCTTACAAATAAATGATTTACAATTACAGATTTTTGTTTTTCGATAATCACCAAAAATACCTCAGCAATTGTTATTGATTCAGGAAAAAGCGTTTGAATAACATGATGAGCTAATTGAAGATAATTAAATGAATCAGTATCCGTTGCTAAACCGAAATATTCTTTATATGTACCAGAAAAATTATGTCCTGTAAAAGAAATTTATTAGATATGAGTAAATTCAATTAGAAATTACCGAGGCCATGTGAATGATAAAGCATTGATGATACACCATCAAATCGAAATCCATCAAATTTAAATTCTTCTAACCAATATCGAATATTAGAAAGAAGAAATCGCATTACTTCACGTCTAGATTAAAAATACTAATCGATGTATTTATATGAAAAAAAAATCAAAATCCTATTCTCAATTTTTAATTCTCACATATTCAGACCCATGGACAAAAAATTTCCTCTTTTCCTATCATCTAATATGTTCTATTTAACAAAACATAATATATCACAAGATATAGTGTAAAAAGCTCTACGATGCTGCGAATAAGATCATTTTTTAGTATACGATGAATTTCTTTCTTTGTGACTTCGATTAATCAGTCATATCCAAGATCATAATCGATAATCGAATTAAGACCATTCAGTATGTGTTTCAATTACAACAATATGCAATGGGATAAAGTTAAAAACAACGATTGATTAATTGATGAATTTTGTTTTTTATTTAATACACTCTATTAAGTGATGAAAAAAGGAACTTTTGTTTGTTCATCGGAGAGTACAAAAATTCGACAAAATCTTCAATTTTGTAGATATGTAAACTTACGTTAGATAATTAAAACATCGACTATCCCAAAGCGTTTGATAACCACGTGGACTATCATGAAAAAAGCAACCAGCTGTACCATCAAACATATTAAGTCCATCAAGAACATTTTTCGAACTATGACTATGCACAAGATCAAGTATAACAGTTAACCCATGTTTATGTGCTTCATCAATTAATGCTTTTAATTCTTCCGGTGTACCATAACGGCTAGAATAAAGATAAACTAATAAAAAAAAAATAAATTATTTCAATAAATAAACCTTGATGCAGCAAAAAAATTGGTTACTTGATAACCAAAACTAGCATAATAGGAATGTTCCATAATAGCCATTAATTGAATTGTATTATAGCCTATATGAAAAAAAAAAAACATCTATTTATTAAAATTCAAGAATATTATAATAAATAAAACCTTGTTTGACAATATGAGGAATAATATTAATACGAAAATTTTCATATGTAGAAACTTCTTCTTTTGATGAACTAATTCCAACATGAGCTTCATAAATTTTTAATCGATCACGTTTTTTTGGTTGAGAATATTTAAATTTATAAATTTGATCTTCCGGTGGATTATAAAATACTCCATGATATACATTAGATTTTTCTGGACGTTGTACATAACGTGACCATGGACAAATACGATCAACTAATTCACCATCAGAAGTTTCCAAAAGTAACTAAAAGAAAATTTTATTTGTTGACAACAAGATGTTTCACATATTACTTTTATTGCTTGACCATGTTTGATTGCCGGCGAACCATCGGGTAAATGTGGAATTGTACCTCTCCATATACCCCATTGATCACGTGTAAATGGATATTGTTTTTCTTGCCAATTATCTAGATAAAAAAAAAAGCGAAAGATTATTTTTAAAAAAACTTTCAGTACAAACTAAAATCTCCACGAATATACATTGCTTTTGCACCGGGTGCCCATTCTTTAATATTTATTTCATTTGTTTGAGAATTAATATGAATACCGAAGTGTTTATAAGCAGATGTAAATACATCAATACCTTGTTCTTCACTTTCAAGTTGTTTAAGAAGTTTTTGAAAGATATAATAGCTAAAAACAAAAAAAAAATCATCATTGATTTTACATGATTTCTTTTTTACCGTCTTCGAATTTCATCTTGATATGGTGCAAGATATGGATCAAGTTTAACTAAACGATCTAATTCAGGTACAACAACATTCGCATGGTCTTTTGTTGCTTCTAATACTCTAGAATAAAATCCTAAGATAGAACAATATGTTTTGATTAAAACTAACCTTTGTAAATTAATCATTTTGGGAAATATTGATGAGTTGATTATGACGAAAGCGGAGTATTTCTATGTTTAACCACGTTTTTTTTCTACTATGACTGACCTTGTGTTAGTGTATATAACTGTTGATAATTTCATAGAGAACAGAAAAGAAAAAAAAACTGTTATCCGCATTGGTAGTACTATCTCTTTGTGAAACAAAGCGAGGCAAAAGAGGTCAGCTTCTGCTGATTTTTTTACGTTCTTTTTTGTAAAAAATAACAAGCAATGGAAACGATAGGCCTACTGTATAAAAGAAAGATAATTATAGACTTATCGTTGCTATGCCATCAACTTATTAGTAAGCGATCCCAATGTTAATTCAGCTTCGATTGTATTGCAGACCTAAAAAATTTTTCATGCATATTAGAAAATATGATGTCTAACGGAATACGTCATCAGAAACATCTTTTATTTTTATCAATTCATTTGCATATTACTAAATATATGGAAAGAAACACGTATGATTAGATTATGTTCAGTGAAATTAGTTATTCTTATTCGGATATAACCTTTTCCTAACGCGTACACTATTCTCGAGGTGAAACAAGAAAAAATTTTTTTTTGTATTTTTGTAAAAGTTTATTGATTAGTTTTTGTCAAGTTAACACTAGACGTCATCAAAATCTTACAAAAAAAGGAAAACCTGGAAAAAATTATCGAGGACTAGAAGAATGCAAGGTTTCACGTGAAATTTGAAATAATAATTATACAACAACGACGGTGCACTTTGGCCAGAAGGGCTTCTAGTACGTACAATAATAAAGTATACATTGCAAGGGAAGAAAAGTGAGACTTAGTACTTCACTAGTACTTCAATCGTACTTCAAATTTTTGTTTTTTGAAGTAGATGAAGTCTCGCTTTTCCCCCCTTGGGTTCACATCACTAACGATGTTCCATTCCGACGGTGCAACAATGCTGTCGGATGGATATATGAAGAAATAGGGGATATTCATAGAGCCTTAGAATATTTTAGAAAAGCTCTCATTATTAATGTTAAAACAATTCCGAACGAAAGCCACAATTTGATTTATATTTACAGAAGCATCGTAGATATTTATAACAAATTGGACAAACAAGATGAAGCTTTATCTTATATGAATACTGTTCTTCGAATTCAATCGAATTCTGAATTTCAAACACATCTGATACGTGCTGAAGTATATTGCCTGTCTGGTACAATCTATAAACGAAAAAAAGAATATCAACAAGCCCTCGACAATTATAATCAATCTGTCAATAGTTATAACCGTTCAGAATCTTTGAAATTTCCCATTGAATCGAACGAAGTTATTTGTAGAATGAAAACATCATCAGGATTTTTTTTGTGTCGACATTTAATCAAATATGCACTAAATTGACAAATGGTAATATTACAGAAAGAAATACTTTGCTTACTATGAAAATTTTAACTTCAATAATCTGTTTTATTAATTTTTAGAAAAAGAAATCGAATAATTAATTTTACCATAAAAATCTTTACAGCATTACTCTAATCAAGGGAATTCTTGATGATTAATTATTTGATTACCAGAAACTGAAAACAAACTGAGCTGGATTATAACGGTTCCATTGCGACTCGATCCAGATCTAACTAGTACTAACTTTTATGAACGTGTACTCAACACGAACCCTCCAGAATTATTTTCAAAAACATAGTAGAATGCAGTGTAATATAAAATGAAAAATGACTGATTCAGCTCTCACCGATTTTCAAAAAAATGTGGCGACATCGATAAAGATAAAACGAACTCTTTTTGATTGTTTCATATGATTTATTTAATCTCTGTGTAATACACTCTTTTCTTTATATTACCACAATTTCGTCCTTGCTGAAGGGATTCATCATGTTTCATGTTCAGAGATAATTTATTTGAATCGTTTTATTGAATAAAAAATTTCAAAAAAACGATTCAGTATCGCGTTGATCCAAATGAAAGCTGCAAGTTGTTGCGTTATCTGTGAAATAGTTTCAAAATTCTTATTTAAACATAACATGATGATTGTGTAATTGTATTTACTTGAATATAATATATTTTATTGTGACACCACAAATGATGCATACCACGTAATGCGCATCGTGATCGAAATAATAATCATTTTATGCTCAATGTGACTACGTGCAATGTATACGATTACTGAATGATGATTATGAACCGAATGGCGCAGAATAAATTAGACTTTATTTCATATCTTCTCTTAATTCACATCCTCATCCCCCACAAATCACATTACACAACCATCACACGCCCTAACATTCACACCTACACCCTTATTCATGCTCCTTCATTTTCTTACATATAAATTACTATATTTATTGCTCGTTTAGAGGATTGCATGATTATATAAAAAAAACGTCGACAAACATATTAGAAGACATAAGACGAATAAAATTGCCATCATAAAGTTATAAAAAAAAATGAGAAACATCTGTTCAAAATTGTGAATATAACAGATAAACTGTTTCATAAATCTAATCTTTAATAATTTGTGCGACCATTTTTCCTTGTGCTTTTCCTGATTTTGATCGATCGTACATTTCATGCAATTCTTTTAGGTTATAAAAGTCGTAGACATGATCAATTATAGATTTCATTTTTCCTGTTTCAATATAATTCACTCTCATGTCATCTAAATGACGATAATCATGTTTCAATATATGAAATATGTAGGATGGTTCTTGTCCAACCAAAGACCAAAATTTACGATTAATAACACCAGCACCCATCGTAACAATGTTTTTCACTGTTAAATTCGAATGTGGATCATCACCAACAATTGTAATGAAACGGCCACCTGCTTTTAATATTTGTTGTGCTGATTCCCACTGTTCTTGTCCTCCAACACAATCAAAGACAACATCATAATTTTGATGATGAAGTATTTCCCCAAAGTTGTATTTTGTATAATCGATTACTAAGAGATCATCATTATTAGGCTTCATTACTTCGCTCACATTTTCGGTTGCATTGTAACCTGAAATAAAAAGAGAGAAAAAAAAAACCTTGATGTTCTATTAAGAGTCGTTTTACACTCTTTATAAACAAAGTATTCGAACATGAACGATAAATGACCGTTTTTCATTGCTTAATGTGTTGTAATCATACTTAGTCATAAATTACAATATTTTTTGAAACTTCTAATATATATAGTACTCTATATGCAATATAAAGAATGTCGGTTAATAAACAATAAAAACTCTAGTGACAATATATTTCGTCAAATTTGTCACAAAAAGTCCCACGACTAGGTAAAAAGTACCAAAACTTTAATTTCTTTAGTCTCATAGTTTGATCACGAATATAGCATACTGAATTGTGATCACAGGGATTAATCAGAACTTGATCGACCTTCATAAGGAGGAGCTAGAAGGTCAACATAGATTTTCTTTTCTTCCGAGGAAGATATCTCCATATAGAAAACAATTCTTGTAACGTTAGCCTTCTCATTCGACAGGTCGGTGTAGCCTCTATCACCAATAAAAATTCTATGTCAACTGGTTTTAGTTTGCTTGATTTATGAAGTACTATTTGGATAATCTTCACATCAGTTTCCTGAACTTCAAGATAACAGCGGATGGAAGTTCCCCATCTGTGACACGATATAGCTATGTGAACCTTTATTTGTTCATAAGAAAATGGAGATTAATGCGTTTAAATAATGGAATACTAGAAGGGCGCTAGGAAAAAAATCCGTGTTTTCATCGTAAATTCTTTGCATTAAGACTTATCGACCTCGGGTTGCTGCTTGCGATCAGAATTTACCGAGTTCTTTTTTTAGTCAAAATATTAGGCAAAAGGATTGAAGTTTATGTACTTTGTATCTTGTAGCGAAACTTCTTGCAACTAATGTAAGATTATCTATACATGTGGTGTAGAAATATCAGCTACTTTTACTGTTGATTATGGATGTACCCTGAAAAATAAATATTAATTTGGAATTTTGAAAATTTTCATTTTTTCTTCAAGAAAGAAACTAATTCCGTATTTAATAGATTCAAATTTTTACAAAACGCAAAGAGGACGTAATTACTTACATACTAGAACAAATAACCATTACATACACGATATATGATTTAACAATTAGAGATTTTACACTCAGATTATGTCCACACTACGAACTGTTTTAATCTATCATAATATTCACAACAATCTTGTTGAATATATGCTTTTCGAGAAAGTGGTCAAGTGAAGTTCTTTAGGGATCAATTTATTTCTTCTTGCCCTTGAAATGTTTTGCTTCAACGAGCAACAAATGATTAAATCATAATTAGAGTGACAGTCTGAGATTGTATATAAGATGAGAACCAATTATGCTTTACTGTGCTCATTGCACTAGTTTACACTTCTCAAATTGGTTCAATACTGAAACGCGACCATCTAAATTATTGCAAAAAAAAGACCTGGAATGATTGAAAACAGTCTAATAATTGTTTTAAAACAGATCCGTAAGTGAACTGTCTTCCAGCTCTATGCAGCTACGTCAATCGTGTTGTAAAAAAGATTAGCAGAGACAAGAAAACTATCGTTAGATGATTACTGTATGCATGCTCCAGTGCAGTTATCATTTTAGACTACTTATAAGTCTCTCTTTCATACCTAACTTCTTAACTGTATCCATGTTTCTCGATGAACTAGTACATGCAATATGCGCTCCTACTGCTTTTGCTAATTGTATCCCAAATAATCCCACTCCTGTTGGACCACCACAAATAAACACTTTTGAATCTCGTGTAATTTCTCCTTGTTGAAAAAGTGCTTCATAAGCTGTTTCACCAGCTAATGGAACAGCTGCTGCTTCTGCAAACGATAGGTTTGCTGGTTTCAATGCGAATAATGATTCATCAGCACGGACGTATTCAGCAAAGGCATTTCCATAACCCATGTTACCATAGACAGCATCACCGACTTTTAAGCGTTCTACAGATGAACCGACATTAACGACTATGCCCGAACAATCCATGCCTAAATAAACAAAGAAAAACAAAAAGTTTTTTAGTTCTCCAAACGGAATAAAACGAACTAAATTGAGAATAGACCTGACTGAAATCTAGAGCTAACAAGACTTTAATATAACTAAAAAAATATTATTGCTATAATTCATTCAAAATTCTCTTTCGAGAGCAGTTCAAGGTATTAACTACTCTATGTCCAGAAGCATATAGATTTTTTCTCAGTGTCTGTCTTTAAGAAGTTCTCGCTTGAATGGGGATTACTATCACTAAAGCTTGTACAAATCGTTGCCACTTATAGCAGGTATGTAAAAGACATTATTTAAGTCCCATAGATTTTTAACCTCATCAAATGAATCTAAGAGAAATAAACTTCATATCTATTCAAAATTTGTCAAAAATGTTAAGAACATTTGGTTTTCAAGACTTTTAGACATACGTCGTACTTATTTTCTTTCTTATCGATATAAATACAAAATTAGATGAAGTTCACAAATGAATCGATTTGAACATTTTTTCTTCTGTAAGATATTATATTTATTTTTTTCGAACGTTTCACTTGACAGATTCAGTCTTGATCAGTGGACATCAACAATTGATTAAAAGATCACTATTCGACTAAAATTTTTCTTTCGTACGTAGTACAATCTAGGATGAAAAAAAAAGAACAACAAGAATACAAACAGTTTATTTCGTAAAATTTAATTTCTCTAGTCATAACAGCAAAGCGACTTTTGATTTAAATTAATCAATCGTTTGTATTCATTAAAGAAAAGTGAACTTGTGGATCGAAACATTTAGAAATAAAGATAGATGCAATATCGTATGAAAAAAAAGTGTTCAACTGGATTCACTTATAAAATTTAGTATACTGAATGGATATAACTACGTGTATTTAAATAGACATGCCAGCTGTTCTGAAGAATACTTTAAAAGAGGTATGAGTTTTGCATTCTTAGTTTCTGTTAAAACCAAGCAATCTTCAAAATTTCTTGTGATTAAATACAATGAAAATACGCAATAGTAGATTCAATTGCGTACTCTCAATATGGAAAACATTATTCAAATGATAGCAGCTTCCATAGATTTGGTATCTAACTATAAAACTCAAACAGATTTATTGTAGATAATCATAATGATTAGTTTTTTTTTCTTTTCTGGGAATTAAGCACATTTGTTTGTTTACAGAATATTATCTGTTAAATTCTATTGTTTGAAAATGTTTAGAAAACCTAAAAATTCAAAAACTAAATATTTTTTCTTAGGTCGAGATGTCACGGTTCATATTATTCATACATGTGAAACTTGATAGATCTTGTATTGCTCGCAGTCGACTTAATTTTCAAGCGATAATCATTTATATCTTTTACCTATCTGCATTGTTTTTCTTTTATTACCTGGTATATGTGGAAATGCATAT